CTCTCTCCCAGCAGTGTGTGTGTCTTGCATCTCTCAGCTGGCAGTGAGAGGTTGCTTCTACCTCTAGAAGGGCTCCTTTTGAGCCTGGCAGAGTGACCAAACTAACCAATCCAACATTAGAACTCTGTACACCTGAGAGAGAGCAAACTTCCCAGAAAATTACTTCATGCTGCTCCCAACAGAAATACCCCAAGTAGATAACTTTAACAATCAGGAGCTACTCAGTTGCTCACAGCAAATTCCACCATGGAGTTTACAAAGACTTATGGCTAGAAAAGCCGCACTATGTAATTTGCATCACCCCAAGGCCACAAGAAATGTGAATGGGGATGGGGGCTGAGGTGAGATTCTAAGCTCTGCTCAGAAACAGGACAGGAATGGCTTAAGCTGGGGACTAGGTGGGACCAGGCTTCTTTGTATTCCTTATTGTATTAGAGGCCTTAGCACTTAAGTGCCTACCAAAACTCTGCAGCTGAAATGGAAACTGGGAACAAAGCCTGCTTTAGTAAGCCCTAAGAGACTACTGGCCAAAGGCTGGGAGCCATACTGGGAAGGGGCCAGGGGCATGCTAGGAAAGGGCCAGGGGCATGCTGGGAAAGGTCTTGGGGACAAGTCCACCTTGTCTGTCAGAATGGCTTAACCAGAGAGGCTCCTCAGGGCACGGGTGGGGACTATAAAGCTAGTATGGGAGACATTTCCAGGGCTATGTAATAATAGGAATATTGACTGTTTCTGTGGCCTTGGGCCTCAAGTTTCCTCATCTGCAAAATGACAGGCTTGAACAAGAAACCCAAAGTCTTGGTCTTTGATCTGTCCCTTGGAAGCTCTGGAGTATGTCCCTCCCACAGCTGGCTTCCTTAGATTGAAGGCTTTTGAAGGCATTGGTGTTATTTGCATACCCATGCTGGCCAGGTACTGCCACACAGTTCACAGACATAATCCTTACAGTCCTTGAGGTAGGCACCAATATGTTCTTCATTTTGCATATGAGGAGTTTGAAACTCAGAGAGGTTAAATAACTCTTCCAGAACCACACAGCTAGTATAGGAGTTTGGAGACTTAAATCCAGATCTGCCCTCTCAAATTCCCTCTCTGGATCTGACTTTCTAATTCTGAGGGCAGTTGTCTGGGCTGGGTAGAGACCTTAGGGCCCTTCCTATGGGACTGGGCATAGGAGAGGGTTTAGGTCAACCTTCTGTTGCCTGTGTTCACAGGGACCCAGGTTGCACAGCTCTTGGATGGTGGTAGAAGAACCTCCAAGAGCACTTTACTATTTGTTTGGTGGAGGGTGAGGAAAATAGAGGCCTGAGAGTGAGGCTATCTGTGGCCTCGTCCCAGAGCAGTGCTCTCCCTGCTTGTCCCTCAGAATAACCCCATAGATCCCTGCCTCCTGGTTCTCCCTGGCTCTGGGAGTCACTCACTGATTGATCTTTTGTCAGAGGGGCTAGGCTAAAGATAACCAATGATGCTGGCTGCCTGGTGGTTCTGCTCAGCTGTGGACAGAGAGTAGGCTCTTGAGCTGGGGCTTTGCCTCCATGTTGGGTTAGCTGATCAGCTTTTCAGGGTCCAAGGTTGGTAGTGAGCGTAGATGGCTCAGAGATTTCATTTTTGTCTCTAGGGTACTCCTCCCTTGAAGTTCCCCTCCCCTGGGCAGTTCTGCATGTGTGGATGTGAAGATGTGTGGAGATGACTGGAGCCTGTGGCATCTGTCAGGGTTGGAAAGGGTGTGAGAGCTGCTATTTTTGAGGAAGTGAATTCAGGAAGCTATAGTGGGCATGGCCTCAGCCAACCTGCAGAGCACAGGGACTCTGGGAAAGGCAAGCTGGTTGGGCATGGGACATTCTGGAAGCTCAGCTTTCTCCTACATCCTTACCTGTGAACACAAGACATGGTGGGCCTAGCACTACTCAGGGGCATGAATGACCAGTTTTGTCTCCAAGGACAAGGATCTTTTACTCCTTCCTATGGGACTGGGCATAGGAGAGGGTTTAGGTCAACCTTTTGTTGCCTGTGTTCACAGGGACCCAGCTTGCACAGCCACAGCCCCTCTAGGCCTGCTCAACACTGGTGACAGGTAGCACTTGCCCTCTGTCTTGTGTTGAGAAGGCCTGGAAGGCCTACTTACACACCTGGAGGCTCAAAGTCCAGCTTGAGATTTCTTAGAAGTCTCCCAGGGCCCTCCCAGGCTAGGCAAGCCCTTTTCTCTAGAGGCTGCCAGAATTTATAGGTGCCCAGGCTCATCATTACTGCTTGTCTGTCACTGTGGTGGGTCAGGTCTCTTTCCTTTGTCCCCAGGGCTCACCCAGAACTGTGATTGCTAAAAGTGTATGCCAGTGAGTATTATGTGGAGGTGCCATGGCACTGATTGCAGAGGGGCAGGAGTCAGAACTGGAGCCAGAAGGAGGGTCCATGCAGGAGAAGATCTGCTGGGAAGGTTGGGGGCCCTGGTCTTTCAGGTCTGATGGAGCTGACAATGAGGAGGGAGATGGGTAGGGCCCTTTGTAGGTGGTACAGCTGGCATGAGTGTGAAGTGCTGGCCATGTCCACTCTCACTGCAGAGGATGTGTCAGTTGTTGGTCCTGGGCTGGTTGTGTCCTGTGGACTACTGAGTTCTAGACCTGGGAAAGCCAGCCAAAGTGGACAGTGGATCCAGAATCTTATCCTGTCCCTAACTGGCTCTGCAAGGAGCATGATTGTAACCCCAGGGAACCTCCAGAGTTGTTTCTGACTTCAGAGTCCTGTTTGGAGGGTGCCGGGGTCCAGTTTGGAAATCAACACATATCTTCTGGAGGTAGCTCAAGGGTTCCAGGTGGGGTGGGCTGACCAGGAGTGTGGCAAAGGCAAAGGGACCCAGGATTCTGGACTGGCCCTGCACATCTGTGCCCATTTGCCTGCTCACAGCACAGCCTTGTCTGGAAGGCACAAGGGGCCATGGTACAGCTTGGGCCCATGAGAAGATAGCTACCCACACCATGGAATCCCTCACTGGGGCATTATGCAGGCAGACATTGGAGTGGGCAGAGAGGAGAAGATGGAGAAGGTTTGGTTGGCTGGGATGATGGATGCCAAGCAGGGAGAGAAGCTGGGTCTGGAAGATTCCATGGAATAAAATGAATGCAATAACATCACATCAGGAATGTTTTAATCTTCATCTCAATTGACAAAACATTTAGTTATGCTGTGATGTGAGCAGCTGTATCAAGAGCGGGGTATACTGTCTTCATTCCCCATTACCACAGATTCCACATTAACTCCTCTAATGGAGTTCTTGAACAGTTTGAATGCTTGTGGGCTGTACTTTCATTTCTTCCTCTGATCTTTTTTATTTTTTACCTTTTTTATTGTAGTAAAAATATACACAGCAAAACATGCCAGTTCAACAATTTCTACATGCGCAATTCAGTGACATTGATTACATTGTTTAATTTGTGCAACCACTCTCACTATCCTTTTCCAAATTGTTCTACCACCATTAACATAACTTCAATACTCCCTAAGGAAAAATTCTTTTCCCACCCTCCTCCACCCCTAAAACCAAAAAAACAAAAAACCAAACTCATTGCCGTGGAGTCACACCTGACCCATAGTGAACCCTCCTTGGTTTTCCAAGGTGGTATCACTACAGAGGCAGATTGCCCAACCTTCCTTCCGAGGAATAGCTGGTGGGTTTGAACCACCAGCCTTCTGGCAGTTAGCCAGTTTAGCAGTCAAATGCCTTAGGCACTATGCCACCAGAGCTCTTCTTCTACTCCTAGTAACCACTAATAATCTTTGGTTTCTGTATTTTTGCATATTTCATATAAGTGAGATTAGTCCTTTTGTGACTGATTTGTATTGCTGAATATGATGTTGTCAAAGTTCATCCATATTGTAGCATGTATCAAGACTTTATATTTGCTTTTATGACTGAGTAGCATTCCATTGTATGTATGTACTGTATTTTGTTTATCCAATTACCTTTGGCTATTGTGAAAAGAGCTAATGAACATTGGTGTATAGGTTTCTGTTTTCACTTCTTCTGGGTATATACAAGGGATTGGGACTGCTGTGTCATTAGAGTCTTGTGTTCAACTTTTTGAAGAACCACCCAACTATTCACCACAGTGGCTGTACCATTTTCTATTCCCACTAGAAACAGATGTGGGTTTCATATCTCCACATCCTCTCCAACACTTTATTTTTCGGGTTTTTTTTTTTTTTTTTT